GAGTAATATCTTCGATACGAATTGTAATCATTTGACGTATCGTTGAAAAAAGTAGGTCAAGTTAGAGCAAAGAATATAAATTATAGTCACAAAAAAATATCTTCTCAGCTTTGCATCGATGCTAAAACTTAAAATATAGTAAAATAATTTTAATACGAATAAGAAATTTCTTCTCGCGAGTGGTGTCTACAGTGATGGGATCCTTGATCTTTATTGAAGTTATTGAATCTGAATGAGATAAAAATCAAATGAGTTGAAAATTTATTCTAACTTATAAAGAATTAAGAAAACAATGCAAGAAATTCCTTCCAATAGGCGGATTGGAACCTTGTACCACAAGTTTTATCGATTCGGTAACCGTACGTTGCTACCGACGGCTAAAAAAAATGGCAATTTAAGCTAGTTCTAATTTCAGTTATTTTTCTCGACTTAAAAGAAGCAAACAAATTTAAATAAGTTTAACTTCTTATGCTATATCAATTTTATTTATATAATATTTATTCAAATCAGTGTACTCCCCTTGTCATGTATTTTAAAATAAAATAAAATACAAAACCCAGAATTTTAACACAAAAATAGCATATTTTTGAATATGGTTATCACTTTCACCATAAAGATAAATCCAGAGGTCAAATTTTTTTTTTCAAATTAAAGTATATTACATAAGCTTTAATTCAAAAGATACATTTAAAAGTGTCAGTATTTCTGAAACACTTTCAAAAATTAAATTGAAAATGTCCTAGTTTCAATACGCATGTTTAACATACTTTTGACATGTTTTTCATCAAAATCGGTCCAATGAGAGCTGAGATTGAGCGTATACAGGCACAAAAAAAAAAATAATAAATAAAAAAAACACATCATAGTATAATTAATACCTTCTCAGCTTCGCATCGAAGCTAAAATTATTTAGGTATATAATATAATTTTAATAATTTTATAAGCTATAACAAGTACTCCTGATAATTTTATAAATATTATGCGTCATACAACGGTACATTTATGTTTTATAAAGGTAGCAATTGTGAATTTTTGATATAAAAAAAACTTATTTTTAGCTTTGATGCGAAGTTGAGAAGGAATTAATTTTACCTAGATGTGATTATTTATTTATTTATAATTTTTCTATCTATCATTACTTTTTTTCAGCATTCACTGGACATTTTTTAACGATACGTCAAAATATCACAAATATTACCTAGTTTAATACTTTACCCTTTGGTATATTGAATATTTGTCTCCCGTTCCCGTAGATAGTGAAAATCCTCCCAAAAATTATGATTTTTAAAATCCGTAGGTTTCGGACATTTTTAAAAAATTTTCTACTTGAAGCTGCCATAACTATTTGAAATATGAATAAATCAAACAAATTCTTTTTTATAAATAACTTAGGTGTTTCCCTTTTATTTTATATAGTTTTTAAAAAATTTGACTTTTTACCTACCCACAGGATTGGATTCAAAATAGCAACTTTGAAAAGTTAACCTTACAACTTATCTTGTTCCGTTAAATTTTGCGATGTACAACATATGCGAACTAAGCAATTTAAGTATTAAAATAGGAGAAAGTGAAAATGCTGCCAATGCTTTAACTTGAACTCAAGGCAAAATTATGTGAGCTAGGATTTTTTTCTCTTTCGTTTGTTTCAATGTATATTCAGTATATAAGGTAAAAAAATGACATATCAAATGTCATACCAGTAGAGTGATTTCACCATTAAATGAATAGTTTTTCATATTTTAAAGTTCTTCATTAATTTATAAATTGATATCACACTCATTAAGCTAATAGATACTAATTCTCTGGAAAATTCTCTTGAGTTTTTAAGTAAATGTAAAAGTAAAGTTAATGTAATGATATTATGTCAAAAATGATAATATTGTATTAGTACTAAATTTAGATATATTTTTGTTATAATAACTACTAACTTCAACTTATTACAAACAAATTAGATAAATTTTTAGTTAAAAACTTAGTTATGTTGTTGCAATAGAAATTGTATATTCACTGGTATTATCACCCTATTTTATAAAAGTTAAAACTAGTCAAATTAGTCAACTTACCCAGACTTCAGGGTATGATCTTAGATAATTATAAGTCTGATAATTATAATTTATTTTTATTGTAAAATTAATAGAACTAAAATTAAAGTAAAAATTGGAATATGAAAACCCTGATATAAAACAATTGTCCAATTTTTTAAATAAATTGAGTTATTTAAAAATGTTTTTTGTAAATACAACTTTTTTTTTCAGGAATTTCATTTTAGTTTTACAATTGTTGATTTTTATGAGTACTTATTGATGTGTTACTATGTTCAATATTGGAAATAATTTTTATTGATTTTTTATGTTAATTCACTAATTATAATGAGTTAAAACCTAAGTACATAATTATTAAAACTTATAATTACTAGTATTTTAGTGAAAGTAATTTAAAATTTAATGTTTATGTTAAAACGCGCTATCGTTATGATAAAATACGAATTCTTGAAAATGGATTGCTATGACATTTAATTTTATTTTTGATTAGCATAACATAGAATCAATGTAAAGCAACGAAGACATTAAATATATCTATTATGCTTTTTCTTATGTCTGAGTATTTTTTCTTGATTTTTCAGAAAATAATAATTTACTACAGAACAATTAGTAAAATTATCAAACAAAAAAAACCCAGTACAGGGGGGTTATGGCACAGAGGTGACGTGGCATAGTTGGATCAAGTATTATATCTGACAGTGATTAAAATCAATATCATAAAAAACGCTTCGATGCAAATCTTTAGATAGTGTTTTATTTAAAAAAAATTGGTGGATTATTACAAAAGCTACATGATCTGCTATTTCCTTATTTATATCCTGATTAAGATAAAGTATGTCGAATAAAAGAAGGATATTTGATGAATGTAAAATATAAAATCGAAAATTTTCACACAAAAATAGCATTTGGTAGCTATTTTCATCATAAAGACAAAATAAAAGCTGAAGTTTTTTTTCCATGATAAAGTATATTACATTAGCTTTAAATTTATATATATATATATATATATATATAATAGTTTCAGACTTTCCGGAACACTTTCAAAAGTTAAGTTAAAAGAGCTAATTCTCATAGTTGATAAAATATTTCTATCCCATTATTGCCACAGTAATATTATTTATCATACTTCAAATGTTTTTATTTTAACATAAGTTTACAATGAATGTTTTTTTTTAAAACCACTTTTAAAACGAAAGTCCCTGAGAAATATTTTTTTACAATAAATTTTATATTTATTTTTAATTTTTTAAAAGTATATAAAATTCTATCTACCATATTTTTTTTGATAATCATTTAACAGAAATATTAGCGGTAGTACTTATAATATATTATGATTTTCAAATACCATACAAAACGACTCATTTAACATAAACCATTGATTTATTGAAAAAGAAAAATAATAATGAGAATTAATTTTAATTTTTTTTTTAGGTGCACGTTTTACTTAATTTATCAATTATGCGGTATTTTTTAAGTTCGTTTCTTATAAGGGTAATTTATAAAACAGAATGTAGGATAAAAATTTCGAAATTCTAGTCTGGAATCTCTGCTGGTCTCTTAACTCGACTGCCTATTCTCTAATTCGAGCTTGGACTTAACATCGTCGCAGTCCACTGTGTGGTGCTGATACAGCACTACTTATTTCCACATTCTTACTAGAATTATTTACATTACGAGATATTATGTTATTAGTTTGACCCAATAACGCATAATTATGCTAAATTACATTTTAAAATTTTATTAAACAATTACATACAAACTTAGCACATTCCTAACTAATACTAAATTTTTAAATTTACAATAATCCAACACACAAGCGTATAATAATGTTAAAAAATTATCAATTCTTGTAGTTAATAGGGTAAAATATGATAAAATTAAATTTAATGGTTCGTTACAAAAAGAAATAGGTTCATGTTATATAATTTCAAGAAAATCATTAACAAAGTGTTATATTTTCACACAATACAACTGCTTTCAAAATTTTATTTTTAAATAATTTGAAAGTGAATTTATATGGATAATTTTCACCATTAAGTGAAATACTCTAATATAAGGAGTCATAAATCATCCGAATACTCGCAAAATAAATTTAATTTCGGAAAAACAATTTTTGATTTCTTTTAGTTACATATAATTCTTGATTTACTAGTTAATAATTAATTTTTAGAATCATCCCTAATAACTTAAAGGGATGTTAATTTTTTTTTATTAAATAGATGCATACATATTTAACTAGCTTATTAAATAGGACACACTCTAATTAAGTCATTGACAGGTCTATAACATCTTTTGGGTCTGTACATTGCATGATTTTCTCATTTTTATACTTAGGTGAGACGAAGATTACGATAGGGAAATAGCTAAAAAAATAGCATAGTAATAAAAATAGCAGCACCTAGTCCTGGCCACCAGTCATTCACTTAATTAGATTATTTTCTATTTTATAAGCTAGTATATTTGTATGTTGACAATTAAAAAAAATTAAGTTGATACCCCTTTAAGTTATAAGATGATTCTAAAAGTTAATTTTAACTGATAAATAACAAATTATATGTAACTAAAAAAAATCAAAAATTGTTTTTTCAATATTAAATTTATTTTGTGAGTATTCGGAGGGTTTATGATAAACTGATCACTCTGTGTATGATAATGGACACTTCATTAATGATAGAAAGACACTGAAAATAACATAATTATGTAATTTTTTTCATTTACAAATCTAATGACATTTATTAGAAACTTTATAGAAACAGTTTACTAATATTTTACGTTCCATTACATTTCAACCAGGTCTCCCCAATTGTAAATGAGATATTACGATAAAATAAGTTATACAAAATTACGTTACTCCCCTCTTAAATAAAAATCATTCGGTTTTCTTGCATTTCATTGGTACGTTTAAGCCTAGGTATAATAATAATAATATTGTATATTAGTTGAGTTACCTATAACTACAAGACATTTTAGGTTTAGAATCTTTATTCAAGTTCAGCAATCGTTTTCGTACCAAAGTGTAAAAAATTATATCTATTTTAATTTTTGAAGTAAGAAATGACAAACGGTGAGCTATTTTACTTATTAATAATTTTGGTAAAAATAAAATTTACTTTAAAGTAACCTATTTATAATTTTATAATTTAATATTTAAATAAAGTAATTAATATATATTGTTATATGATAAATTACGACAACAGCAAATAAAAGTGAAACAAATAATTTTGATGACAAAAATATAAATTTTCATTATGTTATTGATATTTTAAGCCATCTATTTAAATCTTTATATTAATAAATAATTTTTATTTCTTAAGCTATATTTACGGTAAGTAATCTAATAAAATAATTGTTAAATATTTTAATAACATACTTAATTAATATCTTGGTATAAAATGTAAAATGTTATGGATTGCCTTAATTTATTTCGAGTAAATCAGAAAGACATTTATTTTTATGTTTAAAATAAATAACGGACAGCTTTGTTGAAAATAAGAAATTAACTTGTGAAAACACAAGAAATAAAAAAAAAATAATAGGTATTAAAATATTATTTTATAAATTTTAATTCGAAAATTTTGTACTAACTAATTTAATTATTACGAGTGAAGACATTTTTCAAAATTAAATTAGATTTTAAGTAAATATAAAATTAATAATATACTTATATTTTAAGTAGATTATTTATTTTATACTGATACAGTGCATTGTACTTTTAACATGTTTGCAACTACACAACTACACGGAGGATAATTAAGGATATTAAGGTCAATATATTTTAAAGTGCAAAAGAGATTTAAGTATTTTTTATTATACTAGAAAAATATTATAAAATGTCATAGTTATTTTTTTAGTTATATAAATGTTTTCCGCGATAACAAAAAAAATTAATATTTTATTTTATTGTAGAGTTTTAATTACCAAGTTTCACTACTTATTTTCATATATTATTTAAAGTTTACATATTAAACATATTCCAGCTATAGAACAATATAATACAATTACCTATTGCAAAATTCTAGTAATATAATTGTTTTTAAAGTTAATGGTGAATAAATCGTAAATCGATAATGAATATCGTTTAAATATAGATTTAATAAACAATAATTTTTGTTTTCGTACATTTGACATATTATACAACATTATATAACAAAATAATACAAAACAGACTGTCACAACATATTATCGCTTATATTCGTAATAACAATAAGATTCCAAGTAATTTCTCATGGGCATCAATAGAAAATGTATAGAAAATGAAAACAATTTTCTGTAAGATATTATGATATCTTGTATTTAAAAACTAATCTTAAAATTTCAATAAAATTATATACATTGGCTAACAAAATTAAACTAATTTTTTTATCTAATATGAAATATTTTATATATTTCAGGTAGTATTAATAAATAATGCTAGTCTGCTTACATTAAATCTGGATTATTTTTTCAATCATCCTTAATTTTTTTAATATATTTCACGTTAGTACTATTATAGAATTTGAAAAATTAATTTCAACATTAAAATTTAAAAAAAAAAAAAATAATTTAGATAAATTAATTAAAATAAAATTGCATTTATCTTAGAACAATATTTTATTAATTAGTTATTAATCTTTGTAGTACTAGAAGTATTTAAATTTTTGTCACTTAAAATGAATGAGTGTTCGTTTCAAATCTGTGTTTTATTTGTCTGTTATTTAATTAGTAACTACAAATTATTTTTTTTTCTAAATAGAGAAAAAAACTTCCATTGCAATTATTGGAGCTGGAGCAGCAGGTTTGCCAGCTATTAAACATTTTTCTGATGATCCATTATTTGAATGTGTTGCCTTTGAACAAAATGATGAAGTGGGTGGTGTTTGGAAATACACAGAACAAACAGGAACTAATCACTATGGCATTCCTGTCCATTCTGCAATGTACAAAAGTCTAAAGTATGTGATGCAAAATTAAATAATCAAATAATCTTTAGATGTATATATATATATATATAGATTGTCATATTTAAAAAATACCTTTTTATAATATATACGTAATAATAATATGATAATCATAATTTAATATAATATACCGTAAAATAGGTCTACTTTGCACCTTAAATATAAAATATCACTTAAAAACAAGTGCTTATATAATAGTAGTAGAGAATAGAGAAAATAATTTGTCAGTGTATATTAGCTTCGATGCGAAGCTGAGAAGGTATTGGTTTTACTAAGATGTGTTTTTTTTTTTT